TGTTCGTTACAGGGAGCTGCAATCCACACTGAAGGAAAATGATATTTGTCGACTAACACCGAGCTTTCCGGGAAAGCACGCATCATTCATTAGCTGCTGTCAGGTTTGCCCGCAAATACTTTTGCTGCTTTTAAATTTCTTTCTGTCACTGTGAACCCGCACTAGCAGACAGGTGGGAATAGGTACCAAAAGACAAGGGAAAAGGCCACTTTGAGATACGGCGTGTTGGCATCCCTGCTGGAAGGAGAGCCCACCATGATCTGACTTCACATTGTCTGGTTATCTGAGTGCCTCGGTCCCTTATGGGACACCAGTGTGGACTGTCAGGGACACCAGTGTGGACTGTCAGGGTGTCATTGAAGAGTCCCTGGAGTCCAGGATCCTTGTGAGAAGCAAACTGAGTAACTTCAGGGGTGAGCAAAGAAATTGATATGCCCACCAGATGGCAGTGTTGCACAGCTATTTAGAGGAGCCAGTATAGAGTGGGATGGGGAAGGGACCAGACACCCACCCTGGAAAGGGAAGCGGTGCAGGGGTGGACACTTCCAGAGGGGCACCTGTAGTGATGTCACTCAGCTGCAATTAGAGAAATCTTAGGCTCTGAGGGGTCTTTACTTCTGGAGGGGATTGTCTTGTTGAGGCTTAGGTGAGGTACTTTTAGGACACTGGGTGCCATTCTCTGCAGAGTATGTAAAGCAGACAGGCTCTCAATGGTTAAAACTGCCTATTTGAGCTGTCTGAAAAGTAATTGGCTATGAAAAAATAAAACCGAATTTGGCATAGGGCGTGGCATTTATCTTGCTCATTGGCTCCAGCCTGCTGTGAAGATCTAAACAGCCTGGGGCCAGTACAATCCATGGCGCACGCATGGTGTGGAATTGGGGAGCCCACCCTGGGGCTGCCGCCCCCTGGTTTCCAGGTCTGTGGAGCTGGATCAGCTTGTAGCTTTGAGCTTTGTTTTATTTGGCTTTTCTCTCCTGCTTTGAAATACCTCGCTCTTCTTGGGGGCCCCTCAGCCCAACAGATCATTTTCCAGGACCTCCGTGATTTTCAACCCTGCTTAGTCCCCAGAGAAGCGACATCTCCCAGTCCCAGTGCACTGACAAAGGGAATGGAAACCACCTCGGGATGGTGGGTGTGGCGGTGTAGTCTGATCAAAGGTGTGTGTGGGTGAGTTAGCCCTGCCCACTGTAGCAGACCATCCGCATCCCAGCCAGAGCGGTGCGGGTCTCCACGTCTTAGAGATGCGGACAGAAGCCCGAGGCTCTGAGGAGCCCAGAACTCTCCCAGGACCCCCCAGCTACCAAGTGGTCCAGCCTGGATTGGAGCAGATGTGCCTGACTCAAGACAAGACTCTTTTCACAGACACCCCCCACCCCCACCCCCAGGGCCAGGTGTCCCCCTTTTGTCTTCTTAGGGTTCTGTCTCAGTCCTGTCCTTAAAGCACCACCACGGCCGGATAGCTTTAAAGAACCTAATTGCATGGTTCTCTATTTGCAGCTCTGGAGGGGCCAGCCGTGCCGATGTGCTCTGGGGGCCTCTGAGTTTGAGATGCTCGCTAGCAGTTCCTTGGGTCCCTTGCTGATCACGTGAGGGGCGTTTCAAAAGATGTTTGGCAAAATGGAATGGAAAGATCATGGAATTGTCCCACACACGTTCTGTGGGCCCCTGGTGTATTCTGTCTCCTGTGACGTCACTGTCTGCTGTTTTCCCTTTGGTCAGCTACCACCCAGAAAGGATTCGGTTTGGGACCCACCGCTCCAGTGTGACCTCATGAACATAGCATAGAACACGCCCCTGTTTCCAAACAAGATTAGATTTATAGTCATGGAAACAGAACTTCAACATAACTCACAACAACTCGTGGGAGCATAATCTAACCCCTCACATCAGGGAAGGTGGCATGTGTTGGTACCGCCAAATGTCCTTGCCCTGGGGCAACGGAGCCTGAGGGACAGATGGTGGACTTTATCAGAGACATGAAGAAAGGAAAAATGGAGGAAGGAAAGAAGAGAAAAACAGAAAGAGAGAGAATGAACGAAAGACAGACAGGTCCCTGGAGTGGGAGGTGTGGCAGCGTAATCGTTGTGCGTTGGGCAGGAGAAAGACAGGGCTTTCTACTTTCTTAAACAGTTACCGACAGTTACGGTCTCGAAGCCTCGCGGAGGCAGAGCCGGGAGGCTGCTCGGAGTTGGCATTAGCTCCATGGTGGAGAGTGAGCGCATGAAGACACTCTCACAGTGGCCGGAATTGTATAGCAGTGCTTCTTTGATTACACAGTTTACCAAGCGTTTATGTTCCGTTGTTTTTTTCCCCTTACACACATGCCAACCACAGGGGAGTCATGATTGTAGCAGGGGGTCAGGGGTTCACATAGACAAGGGTGATAGGAATGCAACAGGGGAATGCACAGCTGTTCATGCGGCTGTGTCCCCTAGCCCCCACAGCTCCAGGGCCGGTGTCCATTGCTCACACATTACAAGGCTCTGGAGGCCAGGGCTTAAGGAGCCTATACATACTCCTCTGAGCCCTTTCAAGTTCTGCACCCTTTCAGTGACGCTGACTGCTACAATGGTTTATGATGTCTGGTTTATGACCCTCACATAAGAAAGTCCCTGATGTTTGCCAAGCCCTCTGCACAGACGAAATCTTTCTAGTTGGCTGGCTGTCTTCTCTAGTCCGGCTAGACTAGAAGGGCCCCACGTAGGTGGCTTCTACAGAGACAAGTGTCTCTTCTCCCCTTTTAGGAGACGACAGTCAAGCCCACTGCAATCAGGTCAGCGACAACCCAGAGCGGCCCTGCAGGACAGGGTAGCACTGCCCTGTGGGTTCCCGAGACTGCTGCTCTTCACAGTAGACAGCCCCGGTTTCGGGGTGTGTTGTTAGGTGCCACCGACTCTGTTTCAGCTGGTGGCACCCCCTGTACGCCAGAACCGCACAGCACCTGCACCTGTGTCACCCTCAGAAGCCTCCTTGTGCTCGAGCGCAGCCCTGTGCCCATCCATCTTGCCAAGGGCCTTCCTCTTTCCCTGCCCCTCAATTTTTCCAAACACCACGTCCTTCTCCAGGGACTGCGCTCTGCCGACCACCTGTCCAAAGCACATGAGACGTAGTCTCGCCACCCGTGCCTCGAAGGAGCACGCTGGCTGCACTTCTGCCAACAAGGACCCGTTGGTTGCTTTGGCAGTCCACGGCCCTTTCAGGATCCTTTCAGCAGGGTGATCCAAGCACATGGGATAGCTTCCTTCAGTCGTCCTGACAACCAGGCGCCCATCACCAGCTCTCGGGCAGGTCTTCTCTCGGCATCCCCTCTGGGTCCTTGTCTCTTCAGCCCGACTGCTTGGCTCCTTGGTGATCTCCATGTGCAGGACATCTGCCTTCCAGCATCTCTTCCTGTTCAGCCCGCTCCTTTTACATCTCAGCAGAGATGACTGGGCACCCCATACAGATCCTGCCTCACTCACACCACAAAGAAAAGTCCCTTCCCAAAGGGACTGTCATCACAAGGCCAGGATTTACAGCAGCTATTTTCAGTGGACACAATTCTACCGTGGCATTTTATTTCATTTCTTTCAAACCTAAGAAATGGGGACAGTTTTGTTTTTAAGTACGAGAGTATTTTAAAAGGATTATTGCCAATAATTTTCACTGGCTCAGGGTCAAGATAGCCTAAAGGCAGAACAAGCCTTTTATTACGTTGTTGGAGGGAACCATGTGAGCTGACAGTAGACATTCATTGAAGATTTACGTGAATCTCTCTTTACTTCCAGCGATCCCCCCGTTCATCATGAACACACTGGAAAAGAAAGCCTTCTTAAAGGTAAGTCCCTGCTCCCCACTTGTCCTCTTTCAATTCTCTCGATTCCTGATTTGAGGTTCAAACTACATGGAGCATTCAGTATATAAATAAGGAAGGACAGTTTTTCTTTATCACTTCCTTAAGTTAAAAAAAAAAAGATGATAACAAGATATTTTATTTCTACTCTCAGATATTTGGGGGGGAAAAAACTTTCACAAATTAAAAGGGAACCCCAGTGGCATGATCAGGTGAGCACTGGACTACTAACAGCAAGGTGGATGGTTCAAACCCACCGACTGCTTCTAGAGAGAATGACAAGGCTGTCTGCTCCCGCAGAGACTTGCAGCCTTGGGAACCCTGTATGGAGTTGTTCTGAATCAGAGGCAACTCGATTGGTGGTTGTCCACAAACAAAGCTCAGCTATACACTCAGGCTTCACGATGGCTTCAACAAACAAACAATAAGCCTCACTGTCATTGAGTGGATTCCAACTCACAGGGGCCTATAGGACAGGGTAGAACGACCCCTGCGGGTTTCGAGACTGGGACTCTTCATGGGAGTAGGAAGCCAAATCTGTCTCCCTCAGAGTGGCTGGTGGGTTCGAACAACTGGCCTTGTCACTATCAGTCCAATGCATAACCAATATGCCACCAGGGCTGGGTTGAATCCAGACTGATATCTCTCTGTGCTTAGAAGTCACTATGTGTAGAACGTGTTCCTCAGTCACTATCCAGATCATGCAAGGAGCCTGGTGGACAGTGGGTTTAGCACTGGGCTGCTAGACAAAAGGGTAGCAATTCAAGCCCACCAGCCACCCCTTGGGAAACAGAGGAGGCTGTCTGCTCTGGTAAAGACGTGTAGTCTCGGAAACCCAGGTCAGGATGGACTCAGATGGCAGTGGTGTTGTCCACACTGTACACCAGTAGTAGAAAGACTAATTTGGAGCAGTAGTTTCATGGAACCTGGGATTAATGAATACCCCCATTGTACTTTTGTTACTATAAAAAATACATAGGTAAGCCACCACTAGCAAATTTGGCAGTTGTTAGGGACACAGTTGGTGAGGTCAGGGACATCTGTCATGTTGTGCATCCACCGCAGGGTCATTTTCCATCCCCACAAATAAAAACTTCCCGCGCCTTCATTCTCCACATATGTGGCAGTCATGTCTCATACCTCATTACCCAACCGGACATGTCTCTCCCGGGGCTGACAGTAACACGGGAGGGAATTGTAACCAGGAAACCTCATGGCAGCGTGTGGCTTTCTCGACACTGTTTCCTGTGGGTTCTGTGATTCAGTGTCACACTCCTCATGCTTGCCCTTAGTCTCGCAGTGCCTGTGTGGAGCAGGGGGAAGCGGTGGGGCATGGTGGTTCAGGCAGCTAAGGCTGCGCTCAGAGGCTGACACTGATCTGTCCGCCAGAAGAAAAAGGTCAGGCGCTTCCTCCCTGTGAGCTGGTGTGCTTTTGTGACACGGGACCATTCTATGGGGTCTTGGAAGCAGAACTGTACAAGGAGGGGGCTTCGAGAGGAGAAGAGAGTTCACAGACCAGGCACGTCTCCAGTGGGTTCAGAGATGTGTAGGACCTTGACTGTCCAGCAGGTACATTTGTGGACTTCCTCTGAGGCCAGCAGTGGCTCGGTGGCTGTTGAGGATTGAATTATGTCCCCCCAAGTGTGTGTTGTCAATCCTAGCCTCTGTGCTAGTCATAAAGGACCCCTGATGGCGAAGTGGTTAGAGCGCTCAGCTGCTAACTGAATGGTTAGTGGTTTGAACCCACCAACTAGAGCAAGATGTGGCCATCTGTTTCAATGAACACAGCTTCAGAAGCCCCACGGGGCACTTACACTGTCCTATAGGGTTTTCATGAACCAGGATCGACTGGACAGCAATGGTGTTTTTGTTTTTGTTTTTAGCTTATGTCTAAGGTTATAAACCCATTGGGGAATGGTTGTCTTTTTTATGCTAATGAGGCTGCTTCCATGTGAATGTGTTTTGAGTCTCTCCTCTCTTGAAATAAACATGAGTTACACAATCAAGCAGAGCAGAAATGGGGAACC